TTCCCTCGGCTTGGAACCTATTCGCCCGTCAGGCTGTTTTCTGCCTCCCCCCTTTGCCTTTCCTCAGTGGCCCGCGTCCCCCTTCTTTCCCCAGCCGCCCTCGGCTTTGCACATCATTGCAGGTAGCGCGCTTCCAGCAGCCCGCGCCTAGCACCTTTCCCCCCGTACACTGGGGCTCCGGCTAGACACATCACCTGCCTTGTGCTTGTCTCTGCTGGGGTTGCGGGGCTTGGGGCAGGTACAACCCACCTAGTCCAGAGCGGCTGTAGCCTGGCATGAACATCGCACCTGACACCGCAGTCCCCGTGCCACTACCTAGGAACACGTTTTTTTTTCTTCCTTGATCCTCTTAAAGTGCCCCTTGCACATCCTCTGCAGCTCCTCAGAGCTTCCCGGCCCTGTCCTTTTCTTTAGTCAATATTTCATGTTCCCTGTGATTGTTCTCCTAATTAAATAATCGGTTCAGCTGTTTCCAAAACAATCCTCAGCTCCCACTGGCTTTCCCTCCTGCTGCTTTCCCAAGCCCTATGTCTATGGAGTATACGGGAAAGGGGGATGCAGTGCGCGAGTCAGGTAAGCACAAGCACCTGTAAGTGGCAGAGATTCTTGACATCCAATTGAGAGAAGGAACAAAGGAGGAAACTTCCGGATAGGAGGCAAAGGGTGCAGACTAACGTCTATCAGTATTAGGTGCCTTTCCTATGGTCCTCAGCAAATTTACCTTGAAATGGAAAAAAAAAAAATAGGAGCAGAAGGGAGGAGATCCTGAAGTGGATTGGCCTGCAGCGTCTCCCCTTTTCTTGTTGATCTGATGAGTCCCGAAAAAAAGTTGCACAGTTTTTCAGATTAAAAGAAATCGCTGGGGTTTCAAAGTATTAGGATGCACTCTTGGCTTTCCTGATTTTTTTCTTTTTTATTTGGTCTGCAACATATGAAAGTAAAATAGATTAACAATATTAAAGAAGGGGGATAAATCCATACCAGAGAAAAGATAACCATCTCCCACCTCAAAACAAAATCTGAAAGGGATAAGAAAAGGACCATTAGGGTGAGCTGATGGGCTGCTTGCGCTCTGCTGATCACTTTATGTAACCTTAGTCCTGCTCAGAGTAGAATTATTGCCTTTTGTGAAGGGATTTGGGGAGGGGAGAGGTAGCAGAATTGGCCCCATCCACACAGAGCCTTCTTTAGAAGCTCTGCTTATCTGATACTTTTGATTCTTCCAGTTCCCTGGGCAGAGATAATGCAGCAGGTATGGTGCTTCTCCTACTGTTTATTGCTTAGGGGAATGGGATCTGGATCCCTATCCAAGCAAAGCCTCTATTGTTTTATAAAAAGGGGGCGGGGGAAGGGGGCTTCTTTCCCTTGTCTCCCCTTTACATTTATTTCATAACTTTCCTGGTCTGGATCATCATGGAATAGAAGGGGACCAGAGAGCAGGTTCCCTTCTCCTCCCTTACCTACCACAGTCTCTTAAATCCACCCCCAAACTGGGGGACCAGGTAAAGGACAGGAGTTGGCCCGAGTCTTCAATCTTAGGCAGTGTAAATAAGCTATCTAGACACTCCCCAGACACCCTGTCCACACACACACACACCGGGTTTCCAGGGTCAGGTTTCACTCCTGGGTCTGATGCTTAGGAGTGGGGACTCGACCAGCGAGATACCTGTCTCTGTAGTCACTTGGGCCGGGCTTGCATACACACGGAAGGGGAAAAGGGGAAAGAGCTGGCCGGCCAAATCTGCCTGGTGCCGGTTGTGCCTTTTCCTCAATTAAGAAACCTCCGCGATTGTGTAACACAGGCCAAGCATTTCTGTCCTAATTGCGAAATAAATAATAACCCTGGACATGTTTATTGCAGAGCCACCTTTCCCCAGTTATTTTTAACTCCCCTTCCCACCCACCCCAAAAAACACCTCCCAGCCAGTTTATTAAAGCAACTCACTTAGTCCCGTATGTTTCACCGACCATTGTATCCTTATAACCCCGCTGTCTGGACTGGGACGTGGAAAGGGGCTTAGGGCTGTGTGAAGAGGCCGCTGTTTCCCACACGAGACGCGCGTGTGTGGATCCAGCATTTGCTGCGGAGAGAAAAGCTAATGGGATGTTACCGCAGACCTACTTCCAGGAGTGATTTAGCGTCCGCTAACGATAATGGCAAGTTTGGGCTTGTAATTGTAACGCTTTGCACGGCAGCAAAGTCAAACGAAGAGAAGGCAGCTCTCAGTTTCCACTGCTCCCCGCCCCCAGTTATTAATGAAACACAGAAAGCAACGATGGGCCGGAATGATCAATGGGGTGTCTGGTGCCAGCAGCTCTATTGTTCCTCTGTGCTGCACCATTTCACGCGGGGCTGGTCTCAGCTACAAGAAATGGCAGTGAGTTACTTCAATAAGAACCACCACAAAAAGTCAGAGCAGTTGGATTATTCAACCCTCCCTTGCTACTGCTCTTCCGCAATGGCAAAAATCAGCACAAGGGGGAGCTCTGCAACTTTCTCCGCGGCCGTGCGCTGTACTCTCCGCCTGGGACACTCCGGTCCAGCTCCAAGAGCTGTGGTTGCAATGCACGCGGGTTCTCCCAGGCCCTGTGGTGGCTGCCTTGTTTGCGGCCTTCGGGCCTCATTCTACCAAAGATCAAACAGCGCAACCAACTTTCGATCGGGACGCGAAGCGAGCTTGGGAGAGGGTCAGCGCCAATCGCTGTGTAGGCCCCGCGCGAGAAGCTGCAGCCCAAAGCTCGGTGCACTCATTGGACAGTGGTGAATTGCTAACGCAGCCCCTTCTCCCTCTCACTTGAAAACGCCCGCCAGGATTGTCTTTTCCTTGCTGCTGGGCCAGGGAGCGCCCTGCGGACTAGAGATGCGTCTCCCGTGGAACATGGATTGTGCCTGCAGAAGTGCTGGGAGTGCGGGGCTGGGGAATAGTATTAATAGCACATTAAGACCGCGTGTGACTCTTGGGGTAAGTTTGTGGCCTGTTCGTTTGTTGCTGTGTGCTTGCCCTGGGCCTAGTGCAGCTTGGCTCTGCTCCCTAATCGCTTTAGGATCCCTTGACAAGGGGGCAGGGGGTTTTAAGAGCCAGGAGCAGCAACAGGGGAGTTTTGCGAGGGAGCTTGAGAGCCAGATACACCTAATAAACATTGTTTAAGTTTAGGCAAATCCCTCCCACTCTGCCCCTCCCCCCAAAAAAACCAGCCCCACAACAAAAAACCTTCGATACTAAAAATTATGCAGGAAGTCCACAAGTGAGAGGGTGCTGTCCAGTTTATTGCACTGACATGGTTGCACCAGCCTACAGTGCAAGCAACTCAGGGTCCTCAGAGACCAACAATGGGCTCCTGATATCAGAGTGACTGAACTGGAGGACAAAAGGGAGATGCATAGGTATATGGATGAGACTTTCCTGGGCATAAGAGCATGGTCCCACTCCCTGTCTGTCAGCCACTTTGCTGTGGAGAAGTTTAAAAGCGGAAAGTCTTGGGGTACATCTACACTGCACAGCTATTTTGGGATACCAGAGGTATCCCAAAATAGCTATCCCATGTCTACACAAGGCGCCTGTTATTTCAAAATATTTTTCAAACTAACAGGCACGGTATTTCACCATTCCTGTAAACCTCTTTGCACCCGGGATAGGGGATGGCTCGAAATAGCACATTATTTTGAAATTTGGCACTGTGTAGATGCGCCAGATTTCAAAATAAGCTATTTTGAAATAAGATACTCAATTTGTGCTACACAAATTGTGTATCTTATTTTAAGTTTAGGATGCTATGTAGACGCACCCTTGGGGAAGGAGGCTATTAATCTGGAGTGGAGGAAAAGACCCTATGGTTAGGATCACCCTGCCAGAGGATGTTATGGTTTCCTCTCACACTAGGGGTACCTCTCTATGGAAAGGGAACCCTGACATTAAGAAGAGACAGGTAATAATATTGCGGAATTTGATTGTTAGGAATATAATTTATGATGATAGGCAGAACCACACATTGTTTTCTGGGTCTGAAGGCTGTGAATCTTTCAAAACATATAGATAGATTGATGTGTACTGGTGGGGAGGAGCTAGTGATGGTGATACACAAAGGTATGAATAACAAAAGGAAAGGTAGGAGAGTGGTCCTGGAAGCTAAATTTAAGATGGTAGGTAAGAGATTAAAGTCCAGGACCTTTGAAATGCTGTCACTTCCACATGCAGGAACCGTTACACTGGCAGAAATCAGTATGTGCATGAGATAATGATGCTTGGAAGAGGGATTTAAGTTTATTAGGAACTGAAGAACCTTTTTGGAAAGGAGGATCCTGTAGGAAGCATGGGCGCCACCTAAACCAAAATGGAACCAGATTGCTGTCATGTAAAATTAAAAAGGTTATAGAATCGTTTTTAAACTATAAGGACTGTAGAGAAGCCAACAGATATGAAGAAACACATGGTTTGGACAAAGACATCCATTAGGGAAGGATTTCTTAAAGGGGATTCATTATAT